ATATAAAATATGACAGACATAGTTTTGTAAATCTTTTAAACACTACCACTTTGATATAGGTATCTTAAAATAGGTTATTCTTGTGTATGTTGTGTTTGGTTCATGGAATAATGGACAGAAATTAGTATCTTGCTGAATCTGGTATATTTCCGGCAATATTCTATGTTCATCAATATGTATTGTCCCATTCAAATAAATAAATCAAATTTAATTATTTGATTTTAAAAGAGGAAGAGAATACGGAAAATATATAACTAAAGTCAATTCACTGTTGCTCTTTCCCCATCAGAATACAAAACATCCTGAAAACTTTGTTTTCTTTGCTAAAGAGTTGGCCACTGTAATAAGAAGGATGTAAAAAAAGAGAAACTGACTCAGATTCCACAAATGTTACTAAAAATCACAGAAAAGCAGGTGGCACGAGCAGTGAAAAGTAAACGGGAGGTCGCACCTATATGTGTGTAAAGTTTAAAAGTAAGTAAAGTGAAAGGCAGACAAATGATGTAAAAGAAAGTTTGATGATGCTGGAGTTATACTTACAAATCCAGGTCTTGCAGAGAACTCTGGGAAATAGCATCACTGTACATGTAAGTAAAAGTTTTGTAGTCAGTAATGTGGAAGGAAAAAACATCAATAGAAGTAACATTTCATGATAATTAAATTTCACTTACTCCAGAAAACTTGATGCATCATCAGGAGCAAGTGTGGAATCTCTGCACACACACACGAACACACACAAAGAGTATTTGTTTGAACTTTTACCTACAAAACATCTCAGAATAATTGACTTATTAAGACCTGGTTCAACACATTAGTAAATGTTTTGCTGCGTTCACACCAAACGTGCTTTGAGCATCAGGTTTATATGCAAATTCTTCGGCGGACGCGCGTGAAGAGAAATTTTGGTAAGCCTCTGACCTCAAGTGCACAACGTTTTGATGCCCAAATCGCGTTCAGTGTGAACGCAGCACACCGAACTGTTGATTATAAGAAAACTCATCAGGTTGACATGTTGTAATCACTTAGGTACTTTTGAGATTTTCTGAATCATTTTTAATCTAATTAAAAAGATGAGGATTAGGAGGTGACATCAGTAATCCATTCATCCATTATTTATTCCTGCTCCTTCCATTTTAGGGTCACTGGTGCCCTTATGCTGCAGTCACCACGCACACAGGTCCACACAGATACAAACGAGACAAACAGCCATTCACTCTCTCACTCACACCTAGGGACAAGAGTTACCAATTAGCCTAACATTGTACACATGGAGAGAACATGCAAATACCCAGAAARGTCGCCGTGCYGCCTAATGAAATAAATAAATTCTTTAAAGTCACACTTACATGGGGACACAGTCCATGGTTTGAATATTAGTCGGGGAAATAGCACCCCTGCACAAATATGAAAAAGAAAGAAATATAAAGAAAGTAGGAAATAGGAAAGAAAAATGACAATACCTTAACTGACAAAGTGACAAAAGCAATCGGTAATATTTATTATAAGACATTATCTTGAGAAGAAATTATTTCAGATTTATAGTTTTTTTTGGATAAATGCATCACTACTCTTATTTAAAACACATTAACTCATTTACACACTTTTTATGCATTTATAAAGAAACAACTACTGTAAGTAAGTAAAGACCGACTTCAGTTTTCAGCTTCCCAAAATTTTACACATTATATTATTAATCAGTAACTATTATTTATTTTACAAATATACATTTTAATTAAAGCATACCAGAAGATTAACTTAGAATAAAATTTTAGCCAAGACCCTAAACCAAAAATTTTCTTCTATTAATCTAATATTGATTATTAAACGATCTACAAGAAAATAAAGAATACGGGAACATTTCTACTTTCTTTTTAAGTTTAGAATTTTTAGGAGTTTTGATTTTGGAACAAACAAACAAAAAAAAACTTTCCTCCTGGAGAAATAAAATCTAAATGTGGGAATATTAAAATATTTTATTCATTAGAATCATTAGAAATCAAGAGATAGAAAATATTACGTTTTTACTCTTTGTAATTTATATAGCCCCTATACTTTAGCCAGCCTACAGGGGGCGCTCCTGTTCYTTTGGCTTCAAGTTCCAGGTTATGTACCCAAGTCTTGTTATCAGAATATWTCAAGAATTTTCACCTGAAATAACAAACATAGCAGGGAGGTGAAAAGTAAATATGTCACTTACCCAGCAAAGCCTGTGGGWGCGTTGTTCATCTGTGCCACATTAGGAGCTGGAAGTGAAGATTCCCTGCACACAGAAACACACACCTAGGTTTTACAGGTTTCCTTGTAACAAACTAAATCCCACCAAATAGATTATTTATTGTTTGTCTAAAAATAGAAATAAAAAAAAAAAAAAAAAAAAAAAACTCCTTACATGCCGACTTTAGTCTGAAGAGAGACCGGGATGTAGCCTGAAGCAGCTGGCACCTGAGGCCCTGGTGGAAACCAGACGTCACGTTTTAACTACAAAATCATTTTTAATAGAAAAATATGAAGCTGACTCTGCTTATGTGGGACACCATGCAGAACTTTACCTGAGTAGTGTTTTTTGAAAACATCATGTTTAGGAAAGTTGGGGTACAGAAATGCTATTTCGTTGATGTCTCGGATGCGGTCACCAAGGCTGCGGATCTCCAGATCTCTCTTAGTGAAAGGCTGGATGTTCTGGACTTGCCGTCCTCCGTCTAGAAGAAAAAAAAAAAAATGAGATTTGACGTATGCCCAAATTGTATTATCCAGACAGTACATTAGTACATGTATGTGGTACTGTAAAAAAAAAATTAGTAAATGTATTAATATGAACCTGGGTTATCTGGCTCTACCCTGAGAGACACAATAATACAGAGTTAACAGACTCTCCTGGATACAGGGCTACTGTGATTGCTAAACGATGTATATCACTAAACTGGAAGAAATCCCACAGACCAACTATAAAACCATGGATACATCAAATGGCATCAAATCTTCTGCTAGAAAGGATTACTTACATACTGGACAGCAAGATGGACAAATTAGAAACAGTTTGGAGGCCTTCATTTCATATATCAAAAAGATGAGAGGAAGAAAATGAAACTTTGAACTGCTCAAATCTAGTGAGACTAATTTTTTATGTTTGCTTTTTGTTAAAATTGTATATCATACTGCATACCAATATACTTTCTAAATCGTTTTATCATTATAAAAATAAAAACTATTTAAAAAATAAATAAATAAAATTGAGATTTGTCAGAGCAAATGAATGTTTAAAGCAGAGTCGCGGGAGAGTAAAAAGCCATCGTTAATTGAGATTATAGTTGTTATTTCTTATTTATTTTGATTATTCATTCATTTACTAAACAAACAAAAGAAAATCTATTTACAATAAAAAATGAAAGTCATAAATGAAATGAAAGGCAGAAAAAAATCTTATACCTGTCCACTTTGTTTTTCCTAAACATTAAATTCAAACAAAATCAAAACTGGGTTGTTCCCAAACAATTCATGTCACACACATACTAAATATCAAATTTAATCAACAAACTAACCTTGAACATCCTCCCAAATATACAAATCTTTCCTGCATAACTTCAATCTTGAGACTTCTCTTCACAAAGAGAGTTCTGTGTAAATTTTGCTAAGTTTGTAAGTGGTGTTAGGGTGACAACATATATTTTATGAGGCCAGGGGAAGAGACAAAGAATAAACTGTGCCAGCTTGGACAGAGGTGAGTAGCAATGTTTCAGTTGTTGTTTTCCTAATCTCTGGTCCGGGTTAATTTGTAATTTTTTTTTATGTACGCACATTTCTTAAACTTCAATGAGCTTTGTAAGCTGGGCTGGGAGTTTTATCATATTAGTTTAAACTGGTCTCCAAATGATATTATCATTTATCGCAATAACTTCTGAGAAAATTTATTATCCAGAAAAAAATTGTTATTGTGACAGGCCTAAAAGCTGCAGTGCAAATTTAGGGAAAATGGGGGGGGGAGGGGGGGGGGGATAACAAAAAGAAAGAAAGCTGCTGCCAAATGTGAAAACTTACTTTCCGAAGCGCAAACATAAGCAATGGTGATGCCTCCAATCTCAGAGTCACTGAAGCGAAGTAGGAAGGTCCCGTTGGGGCTGTCTCTGAGAATGAAGTGTAGGTGTTGCTTTCCGATGAAACCAAATATCAGCCTAAATGGAGCAAAAATTGCAAACGCTGATTAATACTGCAGGTTGTTACAGGTTGTTACAGGACGCTACAGGTTGTTACAGGATGCTACAGGTTGTTACAGGATGCTACAGGTTGTTACAGGATGCTACAGGTTGTTACAGGATGCTACAGGTTGTTACAGGACCTTACAGGATGCTACAAGATGTTACAGGATGTTACGGGATGTTACGGGATGTTACAGGATGTTACAGGATGCTACAGGTTGTTACAGGATGCTACAGGTTGTTACAGGATGCTACAGATTGTTACAGGATGTTACAAGTTGTTACAGGATGTTACAGGATGTTACGGGATGCCACAGGTTGTTACAGGATGTTACGGGATGCCACAGGTTGTTACAGGATGTTACGGGATGCTACAGGTTGTTACAGGATGTTACGGGATGCTACAGGTCGTTACAGGATGTTACGGGATGCTACAGGTCGTTACAGGATGTTACAGGATGTTACAGGATGCGGATGTTACAGGTTGTTACAGGATGTTACGGGATGCTACAGGTTGTTACAGGATGTTACGGGATGCTACAGGTCGTTACAGGATGTTACGGGATGCTACAGGTCGTTACAGGATGTTACAGGATGTTACAGGATGTTACAGGATGTTACGGGATGCTACAGGTCGTTACAGGATGTTACAGGATGTTACAGGATGTTACAGGATGTTACAGGTTGTTACAGGATGTTACGGGATGCTACAGGTCGTTACAGGATGTTACGGGATGCTACAGGTCGTTACAGGATGTTACGGGATGCTACAGGTCGTTACAGGATGTTACAGGATGTTACAGGATGCTACAGGATGTTACAGGATGCGGATGTTACAGGTTGTTACAGGACATTACAGGATGCTTAAACAAACAGTAGAGGCGTCCTCTCACCCTTCGCTCCAGTAAGTCCTCAGATGTTTCTTGGTCAGCTCCATGGCTCCCTCAAACCACTGCCAGAAAGTGAATGGTCGACCTGGGAGGACCTCCTGTAAGATTAAAAGAACTGTGAGATCTCTGCAAACGGTCAGTGCAATAAAACACACACACCCTTTAACACACACCTTATTAAACTGGGCCCATGAAACCATCATGTTGTCGAAGCCCTCGGGACTATCTAACTTGTCAAATATCTTCCCGGCCAAAAAGTGTTTGTTGTAGTCGTGCAGCTGGTGCTGTGTCTGGACCTCGGAAGTAAATTTCAGGTTGAGAGTGTTGGACATCAACCTCCAGGGCACACTCTCCGGCACCACAAAGGGCCTTCGGTCCTAAAGGCACACACACAAAAAAAGGCGACACGATGAAAACAACACTGTCTGCTTTAAAACCATGGTAGCAAACAGTAGCTGCGTTTCCACTGACCATGAAAATGCATAAATTAGAATTTCGAAACTAAATTTGCTCAATGGAAACAAGCCAATTTCGAAAAAAATTACGTTTTTCAACTAAATTTTTTTGCGCTAGGATGAGGTGGTTTTTCGGCCATATCGAAACTGGTG